ATTTCTATTAAAACTGAAAACTTAGTCTTGTCTTGCAACTGTTTTGGGCATTGTTTTTCAATGTACTGCCAATGATGTCATTTCTTGGACAAAGATCTGAGAAAAAAAAGCAAAGACAAGTCAAGGAAATTGTTAGATTTTTGTCTTCCATTAATTGCTGTTTGCTTGTGCCGGTGTTACGGGACTCTGTCACGTACAGTTAGGAAGGTGAAGAATTCATGGGACATTCAAGTCAGAGTTGCCATAGACTGAAGACTATCACGCTTCATGCTTGTTGTATTTTAGCCACTTTTTCCTGTTCATGAACAAACAATATAGGCCTCCTTTTTTAAGTCAAAGGCAAGAAATTGGTGAGTTCTATTCTAAATCTGTTCCTTCGTGCGGGTACATGTATAGTGTACATGTACATAGGATGCAAGGGTTTTACGACCATAACTTATCTATAGTCCAGATTACTTAGTGTAGAGGTTTTTTGCTGATTCCAGAAAGTGCAGTTGTAAGCTGGTTGTGTCCGACATGTAGGTTTTGCCCAAACATTACAGTTCCACATAGACATGTACCTGCAGTACATGTGTTACAGATCAGTAGGTTCAAATAATGTTGAGAATGATGGGGGCTGCCCTGTAAAGAGAATGTAGTATTATTACATTTTGTGTTTAAGTGAGTAAATATTTACTTCTTTTTCTGCCCTATTTGAAGTATTCAAGTCTTGTAAAATGGTTGTGAACTTATTTAGTTCCTGTGCAAAGAAATGGCAGCAGATGAATTCAAGGGCTGTGAGATAACTTCAGGAAAATTACGTACATGTCTTTGTTTCTGCACTCATTTGATATGGATGAGATTTTAGGCAGGTTGGATACTACAGATTCTGCCACTATAGGGTATTTGCATACTTTTAGCCTTACACGTACTTATCCAGATTTTTTTGAGCCAATGATTTTCCGTTTCTAAAAATAGGTATTTTCCATTTCGCCAAATCCCAAATTCCGCTTCAGAATTCAGAAAGTTAACATTAAATTTGAGCCATAAAATGTATGTTTTTGACCGAAAACTTTGCTCTTCATGGAATATTTCCGAGGGTCCATTCCGCACACCAAGCTTACTGGGTTTCCTTTAATTCAAGAAACATTTAATTAATCTTCCGTTTTGCTGCCACGGTTTCATTGTTTTGCCATGCAGTACTAGCCTTGTCTCCAGGCATCTATGCTGATTCACAGACTAAATTCCCCACGTGTGCAACATAAGCATGTCTGAATATGAACTTGTTTGCGCCTTGATTTCAGTGCTAGTACGGTGTACGTGTGAATGGCCAATGTGTGTACTGTATTGGGCTGTGCAGTCTGCTGCTTCATGCTTAAGGCTCATGGACGCCATAGCGCTTGTAGTATTGGTACCTGGGTGGACAACCCAATCATGTGGTGGAGTGGTGTAATTTAGCATGTTTCCAACAGAGTTCGTTCATTAAAAGCAAGCATTTTAAAAGAGTTCGGTAGGCATTTGTTTGTGGTTCTTTGCGGAAAGTTTTCTTTACTTTGGAGGTCATTCTTAGTGTGAAATTTTGCAAGTTCTGTTTCAAGCAGTGATTTCCATTTCAAAGTGTTAATTCTGCAAATTCCGTCGGTTTCCCACAATTGCAAAAAATCATTGGCTCTAAATATTGATCCTGGTCTTTCACATGCACACACAGCTGCAGATTATTTTGCTACAGCTCAAGAATTACATGGTTATCTCTATCTCACACAAACATCTGGCAATGTGGATACATTTGCAAACTTATACATGTGCTTAAAGTCTGGTTTAGTGTGGCATGGTTTATTGTGTAACTAGTCCAGTGTTACTTGGGTCCAATTCTGCAGTTAGATCAGTGTGTAACCGTAGCATGTCCTCTGGTAGTGAACTACAGCAGCATAGAATGAATTGCAACAGTTCAGTCCACTAGGCTATATACATGTATAGGGTGAAACTGTTGACTTTTAAGCAATTCATCTCATGAAATGGAAGCAACAAGGCTGTCTTGTGTTACAGTTTCTAAGGGGCAACCTAGGCATTTTCTCACAGGATAGCACTTTTCTGTTTTTTCTTTGCAAATCATCCTATAAATCATTGAATTAAATTATACCATACATTAAAAGCTACCAACAGTCAGGTGTAGTTTAGGCTAGGGGTGGCTTTTACAATGGTCATGGTAAGTGCATTGGCACAATAGCAACATATCATCAGGTATTATTAAAATCCTTTGCTATGAATCCATGCTGGTCTACTCTGGTTGAATCGTGCAGTTTGACAGTAGAAAGGTCAAAGGTTGTGTATGTCAGGCAGGCCCTGGGAAAATTTTATATCGTTGATAAAAACAAAAAAGAGGAAAAAAGTGTGCCCAAAAAGTTGTGATGGTAGTTTTTTCTTTGTGAAATGGGTGACAAAGAAGCAAAAATTGATTCATTAGACCTTTACCGAGTTTCCTTCTGGTCTGCATTTCTCGCATTTGTAACAAAGAAAAATTGGTAGGCAAACTGGATGAGCAGTATTCAAGACACATTGTGCAGAAAAGTTGCACCCCAGTTGGTTTTCAGTTTTTAATAACAACTTGAGATGTAAAAGCCATCCAAGTTTTCAAACTCCTAAAATTTATTATGATGCACGGATATCTTGAACTCTTCATGCATACCACCTCAAACTGAAAAATGTGAGCAAATTTTTGATGTGATTTGATAAATACGAGCAAATTTGCTTGAAGAAATGTCAGTATACATGTAGTTTGCCACAAACCATTTGATGCAGAGGTCAGCTTTTATCCTCATGTTTCACATACATCTTGCCTGCATTATCCTGTCGTTAACTAGAAGATCATTGTTAAATGCAGCACCACTTAAAGATTGGATCTGCAGTCTCAAATAAACTTATGTCCAAGTACATGTGTTGCCTTTCATGCACACAGAATTCAAATCAATATGCCCCAAAATATCACCTCTATGTGGTTCCTCGTTCATCATTGATGCTGCATCGTTTTGTACATATCAGTTATTTTCCCAGGGCCTGCCCAGGTCAGCATGTGAGCATGTACTTTGCCTGCCTTATGCAGACAAGCCTACTCCAATTATGCCATGAGAATCTTTGGGTTTAGCGAGTAATAAGGAGGATGTGCAACCATAAATTGTACAGTGCATGAATTCATGAAAACTTCAATTAAATTTAGCATGGAGTACGGGACAGGCTAACCCCGTGTCATTGGATGCTGCAGTTTCTACGGATACCGACTGGCAGATTGTTACTGCATCATCCACTGAGTCAACAAGCAGTATGGTTCTTCAGATGAACACATCGTGATGATAGAGGACAGTTTACACCACAAAAAAAGCAGAATTGCATAAAAGAGGGCAGAATTGCAAGAAAGGAAAGAAAAAACATGCAGAACTGTAAATTGCATGTCAAATTTTACTTTACCATTACACCATTGTTTCTTTTCTGGAAGTAAATGCACGTCCTTAACCAAAAACTTATATTATTTACTAAAACTTCTTGAAGTAATAAAGATGATTTGTTACCCCTAAAAAAAATTGTCAGTGGCTTTGAAAATTTAGGAGTAAAAACACTCAAAAGATCATGGCATAGTTCCAATGAAAAAAAACGCCATCCCACAGAAGAAAAACAAAACAACAAAACAGTGTCTACTACACTCCCTAAAACAGTTTGTTTAGAGGTTGAAAATGAGAACTGTACTTGTCACGAAGGCGTCCTGTTTGTACAGTACTTGTATCAAAGTCACTGCAAAAAGTGACGGATTAATCAAATTATTATTGCTGCTACACATTGAAAAAAAGCCTGCTACCAAATCCTGTACTTTGCCATTTTTGCAGTATCAGCGAAAAAAAAATCCAGCATGACTGGCCAAATAACAGCAGATGAGTCACTTTAAACTCAGGCATCTGCGTTGTTGGAAATACAAAGCGTGAAGTTTTCATTCACTGCAAGTTAGCTGTTTCAGTAAATAGCTATTGTTTGTATAAGTTAGCTCAAAAACGGATTATTAACTCTTTAAAAGTATACAAATAACAGCATGAAAGTGTGAAAAGTTGGACTCTGCAGGTTTTTGTAAATGGGATCAATTTAATTTGACTCTATCATTGGACATTGTAGAATGTCAAAGAAATCATTCAGAAGGAACCCATTTGGTTATTTTTTACTCTTGGATCAGAAGGCATGATACAGCTGAAAACATCTGATTGTCAAGCGAGACAGTGAAGGAAAAAGCACAGAGGTCTCTCAAACTGCCAATCCTAGAGTAGTCAGTGGGGTTGCCATGGCAACATGCCATGCACACATAACCTCAAGTACCATCTGCTTAGTAGATAATTGAACTTATTGTCTTGAGTTTATAGGATCCTTGTCATGCTGGCGTCTTCTCAGGTTATCCATGATTGCTTGGATACTTGCAGGATCTTTGGGGGCGTTTGTGTACACTCACTGATGGTTGAAACACAGGTTAATGTGGGTAGTTGGGTGACTGCCACTTGTTGGTGTCTGTGGGCGGGGAACATGCGTGTGCGCACCAGGAGGGT